ATATATAGAAAAAATTAGCCAGGCATGGTGGCGCATGCCTATAGTCCCAGCTACTTGGGAGGCTAAGGCAATAGGATTGCTTGAGCCCAGGACTTTGAGGTTGCTGTGAGCTAGGCTGACGCCACGGCACTCTAGCCCAGGCAACAGAGCGAGACTCTGTCTCAAAAAAAAAAAAAAAAAAAAAACCATAGGAAACACTTAGAACTGCCACATAGTAAGTGCTACACCAATGCTGGCTGCTATTGGACAAGATGTTGGCAAACATTGTTTCATGGGCTTGGATAAATCCCTTCCCCTCTTGAGATCTTCGTTTTTCTGTGAAATGGGGAAGTTGGAAGGCATAGTTTTAGAGCATGGGGTGTAGAGTCACACAAAGTTGATTTGAATCCCAATTATCATTCACTGGCTGTGTGACCTTGGGCAAGTCACTTAACCTCTCTGAGCCTCCTCTACAAAATGAGGTCTGAGCTTCTACCTCAGGGGCTAACATGAGGATTCAGGATCACACAGGTGAACCGCTTAGCACAGGATCTGACCACTCTACAACCTCCCATAAAGCTTAGCTAATATTATTATTATCTAAAGTCCTCTTTCAGCCAGAAAGTGTTGGGAACTTCCTTTCTTTATGCAATGCTCTTCTCAAATAACACCTCCCCAACCTCCCACACAGACTTGCCACCATTCAGGGGCAGCCAGGATGGGCCATATGGGAGCAGATATGGATCAGAAAACCAGCCATGTAAGTGCTGCCTCAGGGCCTTTGCACAATCTGGTCTCTGCCTACTGCTCTTCACCCAGTTCTTTGCATGGCCTCCTCCTCCTCCTTCTTCAGGTTCCTGCTCAAATATCATGTCCTAGACAGGTCTTCCCTGACCACTTTACCCAAAATAGTTCCCAAGCCCCCTACTCCAGTCCTTTGAAGTTAGGTCCCTTTGTTTTATACTGTTCATGGCACTGATTAGGATTTGACAAGACCTTGCAGTACAGTGATTCGTAACTGTCTCCTCCTATAGACTGAGACCTAAAGAGTAGGGAGCATGTGTGCTCATCCTCGTTGTATGCCCAGGGCCCAGCGTGTGTCTGGCCCGTCAAAATGAAGGGAATTTTCCTTACCACTCTGTCTCACTAGTTCTCCTGTCCCCGCCCTGCTGTTAAATATCATTGACCCCAAGATTTCTTCACAGCCCTTATCACCTTTTATAATTCTACATTTAATTTATTATTTATATGTCTGCCTCCCTATCTAGATAAGGAACCCCATGAGACAGGGCCAAGCCTGTCCTTAGCACTGCCCAGCACAGGGCCAGGTACAGAACCGTTGCTCAATAAATATTTATTGAATGGATGATGTCAGAAATTACTCTTGCTTGAAACCAAAGATCTAGGTCTCAGGCCAGAAAAGTCTCAGCCTTGCCCCTGCCAAGAACCAGCACGTAGACAGTACCTGTCCCCAATGCCATCCCCCACCTTTCTACTACCCCCTAAATTTTCAGACCTGTTGGGGAGCCTGTAGCACCTCCTCCATAGCCAAGACAGCACGTCTGAGATTCATCCCAAGATTCTACCGCCAGAGCAGGTCAGATCCAGCTAACTGGGGCCACCAAGCATTCACAATGATAGGACTCTGCCCCTGCCCTCCAAATCCCAGAAAATTTATAAGACAGAATGTAATAATTTGGCCAAGATTCTGCATTTCCTTAGGCAGCATTGAATTTTGACTGACGGACATCATAGACCAGTAGTCCTCAGCATCTTTTTGGGAACTTGCTAAAAATGCAAAATCTCAGGGCCCATCCCAAACCTACTGAATCAGAAACTGTAGAGGTAGGGCCTAAAAATCTGTTCTAACAAGCCCTCTGGGTTATTCTGATGCACACAGTATAAGAGTCACCATTATAGACTGTCTAATAATAATTATTATCATTATTGCTATTATCATACCACTAACAGTTAACACTTATTGAGCCTTTACTGTGTGCCAGACACTGCTTTGAAAGTTTACCTGTATCAACTCATTGAATTCTTTCAATCCCTCTGAAAGAGAGGCACTGATATTATGCCCATTTTACAGATGGGAAAACTGAGGCCCAGATTGGGATAGTGACTTGCAGACATTCACACAGTGAGGGGGTGGTGGCAGCAGCATATAACCCAAAGACCAAAGCAATCAGGACGGCAATCATTACCCTCTGCTACACCATGGTGAATCTGTAAAGAGGGCTCCTGACCTGAATAGGTGGTTAGTTCTACCTGTCAAACTCCCAAGCGCCCAGGAGGTAGGGACACCTAGGGGGGCTGTCTCAACGGGCAGGGAGGGACACAGCCCCTCAGGGGAATGCTGAGGTGGACCTCAATGAACCCTCCCCCAGACAGATGCATGCCCGTCCGTCCCATCTCCACAAGGCCCCCTAACCCCTTTCTGCACGTGGAGTGGGCAGGGACTGTGGAGGGCTGCTCACCCGTGGTCCTGGAAACTGCGAGCGAGAGCGAGGAGAGGTCAGCGGACCCTGCAGAGAGGAAGGCATGTCTCAGGAGGTGACAGAGGGCAGCCGGAGGTCCAGACAATCTCCCAAGCCCCAGTCTTTCCTTTCCTAGCCCTGCCCCTTTGGATGAGCTCGCTCCCTCTTACCGCCCGCAGGGTCTGGCCACGCTTCCTTCCCTAAACCCTGTCATTCTGTCATTCACCCCACCCCTCATCACACTCAGGCCCCGCTCCTTCTCTCCCTAAGGCTGGGCCTGGAGGACCCCTTCTCAACCCCGGTTAGAAAAGCCCCCACCCCCTTCAGGGTCAAGCCCGCCCCCTTCTCCCCCTCGAGTCCCACCCCTCTCCATTCTCTGTGTCAGGCCCCGCCCTCCTGTTTTCAGAACAGGCCCTTCCCCTTCGCTCTGCCAGGGTCCCGCCCCGTCCCCTGCGCTCCCTCAGGGCCAGGCCCCGCCCCCTCACCCCTCCGATAAGGCCCTGTTTCCTTCTTTAAGTTAGGCCCCGCCCTCTTCTTGTCGTCATGGTCAGTCCCGCCCCTCTGCGAGCCAGACTCCTCCTTTTCTCCCCTCTCTGAGCCGGGTCCCGCCCCCATGACCCTCGGAGTGGCTCCAGCTCCGCCCTCTCTGATTCAGGCCCCGCCCCTTCTCCCTCGAGAAGTCGGGCCCGCCCCCTTCTTTGCCTCAGGGACAGGCCCCGCCCCCTTCTCACTGTACACTAGGACGCCTCGCTCGGACCTTGGGCCGGACCCCCTCACCATCCTCTGCCTCCTTCCCGCCATCCAGTACAGTGTCTCTGGAACACTCACACTCCCCTCCGCGACACCCCGAGACTCCCATAGGAACCCCCAGACTATTCCGGGACCCCCGGAACCCTTGCATCTCCAGCCCCGCCCCAGACTCCTCTCCCGAACCCCGGGTCCGCTTACCCAAGGCCCCCAGCTCCGACGCAGCGGGCGGTCTGGCGACGCGGCGACTCGGCATGGCCCGGCCAGTGGGGTCGGACGGCCCGGAGGAGGGCCCAGACCGAAGCGCGCGCGCGGGCAGGCCGGGCAGCCAGGCGACACCGTCCGGTGGACGATCGCGGGTCGGGCGAGCGGCGCAAAGGCTCGGGCCGCAGGCCGGGCTGGACGTGCGGCGCCCGGGGTTGCGGGGGGCGCCGGGCCGGGCCGGGCGGGCGGCGGGCGGGGGCGGGGCAGCGGAATTCCCCGGCGCCACCGGCCTGCGCGCCCATTGGCCCGCACCCTGTCGTGACGTCACGACAGGGGAACGGGAAAACCCCCACGCGTCACGTGATGGTGGGGGCGGGGCCGGCCGGGAAGAAGAGGCTGGGCACTCGGCAGGGGTTGGGCCGGCGTCGCTGCCCATTGCCCTGGACGAGACAACTGAGGCCTGCTTAGGGCCGCTCACGCCATGCCCATTGGACAAGCCGGGAAACTGAGCCCCCTCCAGCCTTGGTCTCCCAGCGGGACTTGAACCTGCTGTTTCTCAGGCTGGAAGGACCGTGAGATTGCCAGGATTCTACAACTGCTGTTGATAATAATGATCTTTTATGAAACCTCCAAGGTATCTAAATACCTCAGTTTCTTCAACTGATAAAGATACTTACTGGACGTTTAAGGCTAGAGTTTCAGCTTCAGGATTTCTGTTTTGTTCCTTGTAGCCTCCTGGAACATAAAAATAAATGTTTATTGAGAATTAGGATTGTCGGCCCGGTGCAGTGGTTCACGCCTGTAATCCTAGCACCGGGAGGCTGAGACGGAGGATTGCCTGAGGTCAGGAGTTCGAGACCAGCCTGAGCAAGAGCAAGACCCCATCTCTACGAAAAATAGAAAACTTAGCTGGGCGTGGTGGCGCATGCCTGTAGTCCCAGCTACTCGGGAGGCTGAGGCAGGAGGATCGCTTGAGCCCAGGAGTTGAAGGTTGCTATGAGCTAGGCTGAGGCCACCGCACTCTAGCCCGGATAACAGAGCGAGACTCTGTCTCAAAAAAAAAATAGGATTATCGCAGAAGAGACTGAGGCTGAAAGAGGAGCAGCCATTTGGCTAGATCACATTTCTAAGCCTCCTATGTCTGTGAGAATGACCGGGTGACTATTAGGTTCCGACTTGGATGCCAGGCACGTGCAGACAACCGAGCCAGGGCCTGGTGTTCTCCCTATGTCTGCTTGTGTAAAATTGGGGTGTCCCACTTCTTCCTCCATGGCCCATGTGGACCCGTTGATTCATTCAACATACACGTTTTGAGCACCTGCTGTGCGACACCACCCATACTGGGTGCTAGGGCAGAGCACTCACCAGCTCAGGCCTGGTACCTGCTCGTGGGAGGCAGAAAGAACGGTGGACGACAACAGTTCTGCAAGTGCGGCCCCCAGCCCTTCAGGCGGTGTGGATGTAGGCGCGAGTTGGAGAACTCCTGCTGTAGAGGAAGAGACAGAGCAATTTCTGCAAAGGGCCAGAGAGCAAACATGTCAGGCTTGAGGCTTCGAGGGCCAGACGGTCTCAACTCTCAACTCTACCACTGTGCAAAAACAGCCAAAGACAGTACATAAATAATGAGTACGGCTACGTTTCAGTAAAATATTTCATGGGTATCAACGTTTGGATACGTTCAATTTTCATATGAAACAATATATTCTTTAGATTTTTTTCCAACCACTTAAAAAGGTAAAAACATCTGCGTTCGGTGCTTGGCCCGGTAATCCTAGTGCTTGGAGGCTGAGGTGGGAGGATCACTTAAAGCCAGGAGTTCAAGACCAGCCTGGGACATACAGTGAGGCCATTTCTCTAAAAATAAAATAAAATTAAAAAATGTAAAAACCGGCCGGGCGCGGTGGCTCACGCCTGTAATCCTAGC